GCACACCACAAAAAACAAATTCCAACGTTCAAAGTTTTATTGCGGGATCCAACAGATCTCGGGAAGCGCAGTCGGATCCCGCGAGGGGAATTTTTTTTTTTTTTAAATTCGGCATTTCTTTGGGCCATCCGGTTTGCCGGTTGACCCCCCCTGGCCCAGTCCGGCTCCTGTTGGACCGGGCCAGCTCGACCGGCCGGTTGCCGGCCCAGCCCTGGTTTAATGTTATATAATTTGTTGGAATTTCTAAGCTGCGCATATGTGGACTTTGCGTCTCTGGACTCCGGTGTGGATTTTGTGTGATCTCTCAATGTGTGTGTGTGTGCTCAAGGTGTCGGGCAGTGAGGCTCAATGCTCGCATGACAATACCTGCAGTTACAACCAACAAAACAGCAACAAAGAAAAAGCTGTTTGTTTGCAGGATCGGCAAGAAAAAAGAAATGGTTGCCAGGCGATGCAAGTCCTAGGCTTGGACCCCACTGGCCGGCGCCTGGAAAAAATACTTGGCCGCGAAATGCTGGCGAACGGCGGTGGAAAGTTCTTGGCACGTTTCGACGGGACCCCACCAGCGACTGCTGGCGAGGTTTTGGAAACAGCCAGGCTTGCCGCATTAGGAAACCGGACACAGGCCCCTCCAAAAAAGGAAAGTACGGATGGGCTGTATGGACCAGCGGACATGGTGCAGCCCATGTCCAGCCTGGACGACTCGTGCGACACGAACTTCGACCGCAGCTTTTTGTCCTGGTCCAGCCTCAAGTCTGTGCTGCCCGTGGACTGCACCACACCTTGCCGACAGCGGTGGAAAGTTTTTGGCACTTTGCCTTTCCTAGCGTGCTGGAGGGCACTTTGTAAAAGGACTGCCGGTTTCTGGCAGAGACTTTTCCAGCCGCCAGCCATGTAGAAACACGGCCAGCATGGTTTCCAGGACGGCAGTGGGGTCTGAAACCGACGTTCACAAACCTCAAAAACACTTCCTGGCGGCCTGATGGGGTCTGAAATCGGCCTTCCATGCCAAAACCTTTCCAGCCGCCGGCCAGTGGGCTCTTAGCACTAGGTTGAGCTATGCCGTTGAATTTCATGATGGTAAAAAGCTGTCCTTCATGACATCCGTTAAAATTGGAACGAAACAGAAGATTAGCATGGCCCCTGCGGAAGGATGACACATATAACTCGAAAAATGGTCCAATTTTTAAAAAGAAGCTGTTTGTTTGCGGGATTCACAAGAAAAAGGAAGTGGTTGCATCCCGGGGGGATCCAACTCCTGGTTTGAGCTTTGCCATTGAACTTCTCAACGGATCACCTAGTATATGTTAAGAGCTGACCTTACCGCTTGCATGTTTCTTGTTGATTGGAAATATCGTCTTCGCAGTTGGTTGCAAGATCCCAGCAGACATGCGGCTCATAGAATTGATGAGCACTCAGCTCAGAGTGGATCAGGCCATTCTGACAGGTCAGTCAATTTCACAACATCATTTCTTGTCTTTGGGTTGGGCTGGTGTTTACAGCCAGCCTCTTTAAACCACAACTATCCCCGACGTCAAAAATTTGGGGGGACCGGTAGCACAGTGTGGGGAACCGACAGTGCAGCACAAACGGGAAAATGCGTCTAATTGCTGCCATGACTTATTTTGCGGTTGGAATGATTTCTTAAAGTTTCTTAATTATTTTTCCTGGAAAGATCACAACGAAATCTACGGACCCTCCGAGTTGTGGTTTAAAACTCTTGTGGTACCTGTGCACATTAGTCCTCCAAGCACCTAAATTATCTCAGGCATAGTGGGACCAAGTGCTCAGGTTGCTGGCACAAGTGATATCAGACAGTGCTCAAACCACCAGCACACAGCCTCAGCCTTGAAGGCAAGAAACTTGTCTCCACCGGCAAATTTTTCGGGGCTCTTCAGGGCTCAGGGCGACCGGACTGAAATGGCTGTCGCCGAAAGCCAAATCAAAAAGAAAAATGTCATGCTGGTGCTTCGACAAATTCCGCTGTGCAGGGGGCGCGTTGGTAGGGCGAAGCAGCCCTGGGTGTACTGGTGGTCCCTACTGTTTATCGAAAGGTGGTCAAAGAGTACCGGACCCTTCAAAACGGTGGGAGGGGGCCAGTACTGCGATAGCGGGGGCTGCGCTAAATTCCAAGCATCCCAACTTTTACAATGATCTCACATGCAGTTGTCATCAAACAAGCTCAGCAGAGAATGTTCAACAGGTTTCCAATTACGCATGAGTAGCGAGTACCAAGAGAACAACCAACTTGTTTTATTTCAAGACTTTACACAGCTGTAAAGTCTGGCCACTCCTCCTATGGCCCAGCAACGTCCATCCGACAACAGCTTCAGATATGTGTCTCGCTAGTCTCTCCCTCTCTCCCTCTCTCGGTATGTACATGATCTCCCTCTGTTCCTCTGGTATGTACACACTCTCTTCCCTCATGTATGTACACTATCCCTCTCTGCCTCACGTTCTCTATGCCTGGATCTATCCCTCTCTGCCTCACGTTCTCTATGCCTGGATCGATCCGTCTCTGCCTCACGTTCTCTATGCCCGGTCTCCATTGGCTATGGCCGCTTTCCGTTTCGTCGCTCCAACTTGCTTCACGTCATCCTCCTCGTTAACACAGTGCACAGGGTCGCGATGGTCGTACAAGCCGTGTGTTCTTCCGCAACATGCAACTCTGAATCAATCGGCAAGGCACTGTGCTTGCTTATATAGTCACATGGACTGGGTTGGTCTGTCTGGACTGGTACCGACCGCTTGGGCCTGTGTGCAGTGGACTGCATGTTTGGGTACCGGTGCCTTCCGGAAGGTGCTGCTGCAAGGTTGGACTTTCGACTTCTGGACTTTTCCTTCGGTACCAGGCCCAACCAGTAACGGCTTGACTTCTGGACTCTTCAGGCCCAACAGGTAGACTTCGACCTCTAGACCTTTCTTGACTTGGGCCTGCAACTGCCCAAAACTGGACCCTGCTGACTTCTAACGGGACTGGACCTCTAAATTTGACTGGAAGCTTCTGGACTGGGCCCCTGGCCCTGAAGCGTTTTAGCATTTTTCTTGTGAGGGTAACGTGGCCCTCAACACTCCAAATTTGGCCTGGGCCTAAGGGCTCGAGATTTCTGAGGCCCGACAGGGCCTGGCTAATAGTCACATGAATCCTTTCACTTTGGCGATTTGGAAATCTGATATCCAGGGAGGAAAAGTTCTGAAACAAAATCAGGGACATAGATTAGAGCACTACGCAGCAGAGAAAAAAATAAAACAAACGAAAATGGTTTAGGGCACGAAGCGTCAAACTGAGTGCATACTTCGGTCAAATGTTGCTATCACCCGAGTGATGTTTCATGCTGGGAAGTTGCAGGTTTTTTCTTTTTTCTCTTTTCTTTGGTTCGTACAAACTTGCTCGGTGGGACTTGTGCTGCAAACTACCACTACCTCTCACCGACAAATTTTTGGCTGAGCTGCATGCATGCGACATCTTTAAGGATCAGGGCTCTTGGAACAAAATGGCTGGTGCCACCAGCCAAAAAGGAAAAAAAAAATGCTCTTCATGGCTACCGCGGACCCGGACACCAGGCACATCCGGACTGTTTCCCGGACCAGTGTCTGGACCGGTCCGGACTGTCCGGTGATCCGGACATGTCCAGACACCCGGACATCACCGGACCCGGACAGTCCGGACCTGTGTCGGGGACCCAAAAAATGTCCGGAAGACGGGGAAACAAAAAAAAAAAGAGGAGGGTGTGGGGTGGCAGGCCGGTGGGGGTGGCAGGCCGGTGGGGGTGGCCGGTTGGCAGGCACTGACCTGCTTTACACTTGCAGCAGAGCACCTGTCCAGCAGACAGTGGGGGGAAAGTCAGGGGAGATGGTGGGG